CTTGTTCACCATGCTGTCCACCACCTTGCCCTCCACCTTGCCCACCACCTTGTTTACCATGTTGCCCACCACCTTGCCCTCCACCATGCCCACCACCTTGTCCTCCACCATGCCCACCGTCTTGTCCACCATATTGTTTACCACCTTGTCCGCCACCATGTCCACCACCTTGCCCTCCACCTTGTTCACCATTTTGTCCACCACCATGTTTACCATGTATACCTTATTGTTCTCCTTGTCCACAACCTTATGTTTTTTGCAACCCACCTTCTTGCGCTCTTCCTTGTCCGCCTTGTTAATGTTGTGTGCCTTGTCTGACGTCCATACTGTTGCTATTAAATATTATCAATATTATTCTATCATTTATCAGGCTTAATCTTTCAGTACATTCTTACTTATCGTAGTTGCAACAGCTTTATTCATAATCCTATGCTATAAAAATAGAAATGAAATAAATTTTTGTCGAATTATTTAAAAATTTCACACATACCATATGCATTCATTTTTTATAGATTTGTTATTTATTTATGAATTAATTGATACAACTAATGTATTCTATTTGGCCTGGTACAAAATATAATTTTTGGAGAACAAGTGTGTTATTATTTCTTATTATATTTCGTCTTAAAAATTGCATGAAGCGTTATTATTTACACAATAACGTTTGTCTTGGTCTTTACTTTTTAGTGCCATTTAAAAAAAAATTATCACTCCATTCTATATGTATAGATTAGAACAAATAAACACAGAGTGCTGGGAACTGTTTTTTACAATCAGCCATAAATAATAGTCTGAAGAAGTTTTATAGTACTACCATAATATATAAAATTATAAGAAATTATATACAAATAAATATACAACAAAACTTTGTATAAAGTATTTTTATTTTAGTTTGGTTTAATAATATATGTACATGAAGTATATTACATAAATGTATGTATCACAATGATATATTAATATGTAGTGGTATATAGGTTTTATTGTGCTGGATATTGTTTTGGGTATCGACACCGTAAATATTTTGCTGGTGGACAAATAGGCCATGGTTTGCAGAGACATTCAGGTTGTCCTTGACACTGACTCAATGGGCAAGAATCCTGAAGACCATCTCTATGCACACAATAGCATCTTGTGTATAAATATCCATTCCTCATTTCAGGAAATTTTAAACCAGGTGTCTAAAATGGTAACGGATGTTTATTACGTATACAAATATATATTATTGATTTTAATATATAAAAACATACATACACAAAATGAAACATTCAAAACAATTACTTAAATAGATTGTGTGAAATAACAATTTTGTTCATTCTTAAATGAAAAAATATATTAATATATTTATGATATTCCAGATCATTACACTATTTACAAATGTGTAAACAAAACAAGAATCTATTATTTATTACAGAAATGTTTCATAATATTTTATAAGATGTATTACAAAGATCTTTGTTATTTCATACTTTCATTGTTATGCCACTGATTTTTGTTTATCTATTTTACTGAAAACTTATCCATAGACAATTTTATTTATCTATATGTGAATTATATTATTAAGAATTATAACAAGATCTAATAGTTTAAACATTATAGAAACGAAATAGTTTGAAATAAAGTCATTTCGAATAAAAGTTACAAAAACATTTTAAATACAGTTAGGACTTTTATATTATTTATTAATTTATTTAATTTAGTTATTAATATCATTTGTATTTTTACTTTATGTACTATGTATGGAATCATTCCATTGAAGTATAGTTTTATTCCAAAATATACGTAGGAATGTACTTATGTTGGTTTTTCTAAAAATTAAGTCAGTTTATCTTCTTCTATATCTTCTACATAAATAAAATTGAAATGTCTGTCTGTTTGTTCTGGCTTATCTCTGGAACTACTGAATCGATTTTAAACATTTGGTAAGTATGCCGAATAGGAAACCCCGTCCCTATGACCTTGACCTTGACATATTGTCAAGGGCACCCTCCTGAATAACTTTTCCTAATAACTTAACCGTCGGTTTTAAATGTCTCACTCTATTTCTTATTATTAAGATTACCAAATCATAGCACTTGTCCTTTCCACTACGTTTTGTGTCTGAAATACACTCTTTTGAACTTAGGATGTCTTTGCCTGATACAGTCGTTTTACATGTAGTACTTAACTTTTTTTTTTGTTTTTCAATGTTTCTTTCTTCAACTGGAATCATAAAATACATTGGTGGTGGTTTCCTTTTCTTTTCTTGCTGTGATTGTTGCAATACATCCATTTGATGGTAACTACATATGATAATTAACAATGTAGCATTAATATTTAGAAATATAAACAAATTTGCAACATATGGTACATGTATTTTTAAAGTAATATAACTCAAAAGGATACATTTTTCAGAAAGTATAAATATTATAAATATTCGAAGATCATTAATTATTTATGAACTTAACTAAACATTATTTATTAAACAAATAATATTAGCAACAAGAATGGACTTTAAGAAACAATCAAATATTGATTATATGGTTCAGACTATAATTGATAATTTGTCACTCTTATAGGAGGTGATATGTTTTCATTAAAAATATTAAAAGTGACACACGCATGATGGATTCCTAAGTTAAGGTAGTAATTTTTGATGACTAATAGTGTTTATCGAGCTACTTCATGATGGTTACTCATAAATTATGTTTTTTGAGTTGTATCTTTCTATAAATATATGCGTAATATGTTAAAGTTACAAAAGAAACGTAATATTAATTTATTATTAATAGAAATATGATTATAGAATTCATATGCAGTTCTAAATTTTAATAACATTTAATGCTTATACATATAATAGAATGTTATTGTAAACAATATACAACTATTAAATTGGTAAATGAGCAACTAGTGGTGTTGCATTCAAAGTTAAAGAAGAAAATTGTATTCTTATTAAAACCTTTTCTTTAAAAAATGATTTATTATTAAAATATGTAATATTACTTTACACAAAAATTATATAACTAATTAAATACGTACTAAATTGTTAAACTAACCATTCTAAAGCAGTCACAGCTGCTTTTAATCCACAAATTATATCTGCTGGGTTAACTATTTGAGTAGTAGACATTTTAATTTATTAATATTTCTATGTACTGTAAGAATTTAGTTTTAGTTACTGTTAGAATTTTTATACTTGTTAATTTGTCATTATGTAAAAAAATGTTAAATTAGGCCAAAATTTATGAAAACATTGTAAAAGAAATATTTGATTTAGTATAGGTTGTTATATTTTGTTTGTATAGTTTTTGTTTTCTTTGACAGATTTTGCAGTTTAATAAAATATGACTCAACTTTATACATGGTGAAACATTTAAAACAGTTCATTCATATACAGGAATACAGAGTAATTGTATTTTTTATTCCAGGTGGAAAGTACAAGAACATTTTAACGTTGTTAATGTTGTTATTTAATAGATAAATATAATTTTTGATTTACCTTTTAACAGAAGTTGGTAAGAAAAATAAGGTGAACCAAGTTTCTAGGTCATTCAGGCACCATGACTAGTTACAAATAAAAGTATTTTACTTCAATAGAGATATACATATAATAATTTAGAAATTTGTATCTTCAAGTATCAAGTTATAATTTAAATGTTCCAAATAGTGACTTCGAAATGCGATACATGTTTGCTAAACTAGCAACTAAATTAGACAAAATACATTAAACACAAATGAAATTAGAAATTTAATAACATCCATATTAAATCACTTCAGAATATGTATTGTTCAATTAGTGTGTGGAGAAAAAACCAATCTGTTTTTAATGTTACCACAATTATTTTTCTTTCTTTAAAGTTACCACTTTTAAGCATATTTAGCCTAATTTTTAATACAGTGATAAAATAACCATATTTAAATAGTTTAAATAAAATTCTTGAACAAATTTGTTTAAATATGGATTAAAAGTATCACTGCATGTAGATGCGGATACGAAGTGTCTGACTTTGCATATTCATATCATAAATAAAAAAAAATGAAGAGAATTATTTGTTCATCCACGATATTAAGTAAAATATATTTTCTAAATTTCATAAGTTTCGATATAATACAGTGATTTAATTTATAATACAAAAATTTGTTATTGTGAAATCGATGCACTTTCAGTAACAGCATGGTCTTGGACATTGAGGAGCTAAGCAACTTGGTTGTGGACAGCAATCTGGCCCTCGGCGATACCACTTATCCGTCTATTACATATAAAACAAATTACAAATTGGATAATATGTTAAATGTTAACAATAAATTTGATATAAATCTATTTGTTTCACAACCGCATTTTTTGGAGTAAATAGCTCCATATTATTAACTTATTAATTTATTATTAGTCTTAGATATTTATAAAAGTTCTAAGAACACAACAATTTTAAAATAAAATGTGTGAACTAGGTTTTTAATCTTTTTAGAATGATAATAATAAATGTTTTTAAGTAATTTTTTCCATAATTTATGCAGAATCTTTGTAATATTCGTTTTCGGTAACAAAGTAGTAAAACATTTGATTGTTTAGAGAGATACTGTTAGATGATTGAAAACTACAAGATATTTTTGGGGATAATACCAATTGAGAGGATAGAGAGTGATTGGTACGGTAAAGCTTAGTTTAGAATAACAGAAACGATTAACTAGATAAACTATATAAACGATAAAAATTAATCGAAGAAGAAGTATTAAATGTTAAGATATTATACATAATTAAATTAAACATTGCAATTATACTAGTATATAATTAAATATCTCTACATACACCCTGTAATGCGTAACTTCGACCTGGAATAACATAAAGTAAATCTGATCCAATGCTATTTAAATTTGAAGTTAAAAGTATTTCAGCGGTTGAACTATATGTAATAAGTGGTCTCTTTATGGGAAATGTCCAAACTGGTTTACACTCTTCGGGGCTAGGTTTTACAGACCAAGCTTCTGGGTCATTTCTACAATCGTATTTAACGCACATCATCGGTTTCCTAGATTTTCTGGAAAGTTACAATAGTACATTTTGAAAGAATATATTTCAAATAGTTATTTAAAGTTCACAATCTTATTCCATTACACATTTCTGCTGTCATGTAATTTTCATTATATTAGCGCTTCTGGAAAAGTTCATGTTTTCAATACTTACAGGCAAGCCATTTTCTGAGATAGGTATCTTAAACGCCTAAGTTCTTGACCAGAATTTGCGACTTTGTTGTTAGAAAAGCCCCAGTTTCCAATTGCTTCTGCTACGCCTGTACCGTTACCTCTTGAAAACTCGAATTTGCACGTCATTTTCGTTTCGATTATATTAATAACTATTAATTGTTCAATTAATAATAATTTTGCAATGTACACTTGATAATTTTTTCAATACATATTACGTATAAATATATAAAATTTAACAACTAAAAATTGACAGATGTCGTACTACTGCATGAAATGAAGTATATACATTATGAATATATATAAAAAATCGAAGTTGCATATATTTCCACAGTTCATGTAATTTTTAAGAATATTTAAAATATTTGTGGTACATGTAGGAAGTGGTATTTAAATCAACAAATATATCAGAATCATTTATTCATTATTATGAGTAGTTTTCTAAAATTGATAATGTATTTAGACTTAAGAAATAAACAACTGAAAGAAAGATAGAGAATTAACAGAAGTCAAGATAACTCGTATGAAAAGCATTTCAAAAAGCTGTGTGATATCTATTAGATGTTGTACATTCAAATATATTCTGGAAGTAATTTTTGTTAATTTCATCTTATGTTGAGCATTTTTATTACAATGTTTCCATAATTTATTTTATTCATACATAATAGTTTGCAATACATATTTTTTTTTATTTCGTCTTTAAAACCAGATACATTTGTATAATTTAAAACTTTCAAGATTTTCCCCCAATTTTTTAAAATATTACTTGATTTTTAAAAGATGCAAACAATTCACAATAAACAGCACGTATGCTACGAAAATATACTGTTATATTAAAGTTGGTAGCATAATTCTATTATATTTTACATATATATTTTTAGTATTTAGTTTTGTACTAGTATGAGAATAATTAAACCTTTAATTGTAGGTATTTAAGTAGATATTATTTTTAAATTGTTTACTATTCGAAATATAAATTTAAGAAATAGTTCAACAATCTTATTTCTAAAAGATATAATCTGAGAATCTAATATGATATTTTTTGTATCTCGATAAAAGTAGATTCTGCTGTTATAGTAATATTAGCATTATCTAAATATTGGGCAAATAATATATCTGATATTTAATTTGAAATGAAATAAAACATACAGTTAGATCTTTTTTTTACAAACAATTGATTTCTTTTAATGGAAATAAGATTAAATTTATAAATTACATATGGGCGACTACACACTGTATGTGTATGTTATTATTGTTTCATATGTGTCCTGTTTTAAGTATTTCTTCTTAGTTATTTCACCTTTAAATAATGCTACGAATTTATTCACTATTTGTAATCTGTTATAAGTATGATTCTGTGAAGTACTTTCGGACATTTCATTTTTAAACATAAATAGTATTTTAAAAAATATTAAATCACATATCTACAAAATATACATATGTTATCTTATAAATATAAATAAAAGGTTGCTTAGGTTTTGTATATACGTACAAATATTGGTAACAAAAGAAATAACTATAAACAGAAGTAGGAAGATTTATCACATCATTCAAGTACTAAACTACATAGTAAATTTAGATATATGTACACCTATAATATCTCATCATGATTATAGTGTTTTATTATTACTTCTTGAATTAAAAATTCGTTGTTAAATTGTAAATCTTTGATCGAAGGTGGTGAAATATAGAGCAGTCTATAACTTATTATTTATACTTTTAGCTTTCAGTACAAACATCAACGATTACATAAAACAAACATTTAATTAAGAACTTAAATAACAATAATGATATGAATTATATATACAAATCAGATATTTTTGTAAGATGTATTTAAGATTTGACGTGTATTGACTTATAATAAGTGTACTAAATAGTATGTAAAATACATAAAACATAATGTTTGGTCATTAAATGTAGGGTTGTACATCAGAAACAGAACACTTAATTATCCCTTTCACCATTACAGCTATGAAAATATTTTTAAGCCATAAAATGAATGATTTTATAGGACTAATGAGATGTATACAATATTTTGTAATTTATTTTTTGACAGTATAGACTACTATCTGTACTGACTATAGTCTAGATCATCTCTTTTTTTTTAATCGGATTACAAATATCTTTAAATAAAGAGAATATTTTTTAGGACAAATTCAACAACCAATGATGTATTTATATATCTTATTCTGAAACTAAATTACATCTTGTGTACTACAAAAATATATTTTTAATGATACATACCTGTGATCTGAGTAGAAGAGAGACAAAATAAGTCCATGACGAAGACTGACAATTTGAACATTTATTCTCACACAAGATAATTAGATAATTTAACAATGAAACGTACACATATCATAGGTTATTGAATTTTTGTTAAAAATAATTTTAGGATCATGCATAAAAAGAAATAAATTTTATTAGATAGAAAAACAGTAAATATTTACCATGTTAATAACCTCAACAACTTCAATGACCTGGATGTATGTACTAAAGCAAAAAATTGTTGCTCGCATCTAGTTTTGAAATTCTGTGCATTAGAAGATAAGAAAAAAATAATAGGTAATTATAGATTATTCTGAAGTTAAAATTATTTACTTGTCATTATTGTTTTTAACCCAGAACTAATTTAAACTATTACTAATAATACTATTATTAATATTAAACAAAATTCATAAGTGTTCTAAAGTCAAATGTAATAGGTCTGAATTTAATGTGTGTTTTGATGCCTGCTATGGAAAGCTGCTATAAGGCTTTCAGTTGGTAGAATCGGAGTTATTCCTATCCATTCTATCAATCATAAGTGGGAATGTACTGATCAGAAATCCGCTAACAATGGGAAATACATTTAACTTTGTCTGTGGGAGTGTAGTTTCATACTATATTTCAAGTTTCTAGTAATTACGTATATCTTCAAAACTAAGAGTGAACTACAATTATTTCTTGCTCTAAACACACTCATTGATCTCCCTTTTCAACATACTATAAAAGCATTGAAATTGGTGAAATCATTACCATATTAAATAATGATGAAAAATACTGATAAAGCCATTAACTACCTTATAAAATTATTTTCATGTCTCATTTACTCTATAAAACCATTGAACATTCTGCTGCATCTTTAATAACAAAAGAGAGAATTAGATGTTCAATTTGTAGTGTAACACCCTATGTATAACCAGTCAATAAACAGATTATTATACATTCTTGAATGCACAAAAACAAATATTTAAATAATCTCCATCTGTACGCTCTCCTTGTTAATTTCCAGTTTCTCTTACCATATAGTTTTTATAAATAGTTAAAATTTTTGATTGTTACCTCTAATTATTTAAAATTTATAATAATAAGCAAATGTACAGTATGGCACAATATGTATATGGACATGGAGGTATTCCTTTTTTGCCACTGTATGGGCACATTGCATAACATAGACGATCAAAGTTCAAGGGACATACGTAATTTAAATATAAACAATAATAATGATAATCGAAATATAATGTACAAGAATATTGAATTGTAAAATAATGTAACAAAATTACGAATTATAGTCAGAAATAAATGGAGTAAAATATTTTACTCTTACACTGGAAATAAATTTATTCATACTTACACAAACTTAGTTTTCTAAGCTTTTTAAAATGCCACAATACAGATAATTTATGAGTGATAAAAATATATTTATTATTTTTTAATATAATTATAGATTAAAAACCATAATTTTTTATTTCAATAGAAGATAGATTATTCTGAAATTATACAGATTTGATTTAGTATGTTTATTACTTGGCAGGTTAGTAAAATAATTTATTATTTTATACATACCTTATTAGATTAAACATGACATTTGACAATGTCATTTGAATTGTCACACATCAATTTGTATATCACTATCTTCAGCTTCACTTTCAGTACTAATCATAGCGTCTTCTCCTACTAACAAGGCTGCAGGTAGATTCTGTGGTACATTGTCAATATCTAACCTTGGAGTTGAATAAACATTTAATACTTGAATTGTGGTTGGGGAGGTTGAAAGGCATTGTGGTACAGATCCTAAAGGATCCGAACTTAACGTATCGCAGTCTAAAGGAGCTGATAATTGCAATTGCAAATTATGTAACTCAGGTATATGTGGCCGTATCTGAAATGTAAAATGACATACTACATAGTCAGTTGTATTAAGAACTCACAAGAATTATTAGCCTCAATTGTATAAGTTATTCAATTTCAAAAATTTTACCTTTAATCCATCTGCCGTGTGAGGATTTCTACAACCTCTGCATCTACATTCCACGCAAGGTTTACTTTCAACATAACAGGGACAACGTTGACCACAACAAGTTAATTTTCCAGGTATTGCTGTAGCATTACCGCATCTACATCCTTTTCTTTTACTCCGAGCTGAACTTGACCTTGGTTTTTTAAAGCCTGACGACTACTCAAAATAAAACAAGTCCTATTACTCTTAATTATTATGAAAAATTGAAATAAAAATGAGAATTTTAGACTAATACAGATGTAAGTGAAATATTAGATAATATATACTATAATACATGTTATATTATGTAACAAAAATGGTATAAACTCCCTCATCTGCATTAATCTTAGTATGGGACCTATCAAAATACATGTTTCAATTTGTTTAGATCTAATGTTAGTAATGAAAAGTATTAAAGAAAGTTAATCAAATATGAACTATTAAATATTGTTAATTGTTATACAAATCTAGAAATATGATTGTACCTTACAAGTAATATTAACGAAGATACACATTCTTTAGCTATTAAATAAAAGTTATAGTGCAATGTAAACTTCCTGTAAGGCATAAGATTAATCGAATATCTATTGAAATTACTTTGCTGCCCTTTGAAGATTTTTTCTGAGAAGGGGCCCCATATTTAAGGTGGGAAGATGGAATACATTTTACCCCTCCTACAGAGCTGTGTTGACTTCCATCAATATCCTGTTGGCCTACTTCTGTATCTTCTGCAGCAGCGGCTTTCCGTTTTATTGTTATTTTGTTACCAGATCCAGCATACATCACAGAATATATTGAAGATCCATTTGAAACGGTACGGATAGCAGGTGATTCTATGAAATATCGAATGAGACTTTATACATTAAAATGTCATACTTTTTTTTGCTTTTTGTTTATAATTATTAATTCTTTTTTTAGGATACATGTATGTAGTGAGACATTTAAATAGAAACACAAACAAATATAGCATAGTAAATAAATGGGAAATTAATTTTGTGAATCTCTAACTAATTTCAGCACCCGTTCTTTCTAAATGTCACAAAATAGCAAGAATGGAATACACCCTCGAAAACATAAATAAAAACTGAAATCATGTAAGTTTAATGTTAATCGACAAATTAAGAGGTGACATTATTTTCATCCATTTAACGTTCTTCGTTAGGTAATATTTTCCGATGAGAAAAAGTTTATTAAAAGAAATGAAAAATACTTAATTAACATATAAACCATTTCTGTTGAACACAATATAATTTTCTGTTCGAATAGCACAAGATATTAACTTATTTCTAACAATGACATGTATGGAGGTAGAACCATGTATTACTAATTACATGAAATCATCTTATTGTATTTTTATTTTGAACGTTTTATGTGTTGCCATTTCATTTTAGCACATCTTTACCATCACTGTGTAATTAAACTGCATAGTTTACCAAGAACTGTTGACATTTTTCTTATTATAAACCATACATTCACTATTTATCGTTTTAAATTTACAAAATCATGAAAATTTGCAAATGAAGACACTAAACTCTTAGATATAGAAGAATGGAGATCATTTGACTACATCTTTTATTTTTCACAGAAAGTCAGATATAAACTTTGTCCAGTATTAATGACAAAATTAAGTGAAATTAAGAAATTTGCACATTTTTCAAGAATTCAGATAAATTATTCATGTAGAAGTTATAATAAATCATACCTGTCGTTCTGTTTGGTACAAATTTTTGTTTCCTAAAAGCCAATATTTTTAGATTTCCATCCACATATTTATGGAAATTCGATATTGTTGCCCTGATTCAATAATTGCATGAAGATCTTCATCCAACTACACATGGCTATTATGAAAATTCACAATTCAATTTCTGGTTGATTCAGCTTCATCGGTAAACATAATATCATTTATGAAATCTTGTCAGTAATCATAGACAAAAATTTAGTTCCACTGGATAGTCAATAATATTGAAATATGTACTTCTTGAACACAATATAGATATAGTAGTTGTTTGTGAAGAGCTTGCCAAACTAGAAGAACACGAATACTTAAGTTATGAACATTCTTCTAATGCTACTTCTTCTATTTTTTTTTTGGTCCTTTGTTTTTTTTTGTCTATTTTTCCTAAAATGCTTCTCATATCAGTAGCAGAAACAGAGCTTATCCATCCAAAATGTAATGTAAAAAAGCCAAATTACCAAAATACTGATAAACTTCTTTTAACAATAATAGTGTAATTTATATACATTTCCATATAGAGATGATGTACAGCATTTCCATTAAAATTTCTGGTACACATTTCAAAGTTGTATTTCCTTGGCTTCAAAATGACTATAAATATAAAATATTACCTTCAAGTAGAACATAAATATCAAGAATGAGGTAATGCATTGGTCTGTTTTACTTAATTAAACAAAAATTAATGTTCAATCATTTGAAAAACTGTTCAAACTAGAGGACTGAAATTTTATAGAAATTAGTTTCTGAAAATTACCAACAAATATTGTAAAATTTGAAAAAAATTAGTGACTATGATGACAAATATTATGTAACTCGATGTAAAATGTTTTATACATAATATGTACATTTATCATTTTTATATTGAAATAGTATAAAGAGATTATTGCTTAAATGACTGCATATTATTTCCAGTAGTTTGACTCTAAGATTGGTGACCAAAAAAAATAAAAACGAAAAGTCTTATGTCTATCTAAAATAGACGAGTAGCCAATCATGCTGTCATACTTGTAATAAATAGTCTCTAATTTCTTTTTATGCATAGCACTTCACAAATAAGTATATTTGTAGTATATTTGTATCTTGTCATATTGGAACAGAAGATTATAATGTACTTTACAGGATTGATTTAAGATATGTTAATTAAGCACTGTTTAATCTTTTTAATAAATATCGTATTTTACTAAAATTTAAAGACTAATATTGTGTATCCTTATTACATTCTGTAGAATGATAACAAAAAGAATTCAAATACTTAATGATATTGGTTATTTCGTTTTAATCAATAAATGTAGTAGAGAATGTACTATAAAGAGAAATAATATATATTTAATAAGCCTTTGATTTGTTGCTCTCAGCATATGTAAGAATATTTAATTATCTGTGTAATATATAATATATTCAACGAATGTAATATCGCAAGAAAAATAAAAACCTAGAAATTGTATATATATTTTAAATATATAAATGCAATATAGCAAATATATATGTGTGATCTATGCATATGTTGTATACAAATATAAACATAAAAATTCTTTTAAATGTGTAAAAACATTCAACACTCAAAGTTTCTGAAATACAGTTCTTTCTATTCTTAATACATTTTTAATTTTAATGCCATTTGGTAACAAATTACTTATTGTTAGGGCAACTTGCTTCTAATATAATGCTTCAAATATTACTGTTTCTCCAATTTCCTATGTACTGGCTAATAAACAGGGATAGAGATAAACGTCTGCATAGATTTGGCAACGCTGCCTCTATGAAGTATCTAAAATAGTACCGTACTTAGAAAGTGCAAGGCCCTATTTAGAACATTTTCCAGAACATTTCACAGCTAAGGTCTGGATTAATGAAATGATCGAGTAATTTATTAACTATTTCGTAAATTTTTAAATGAAGACAATGTTAGTTAACAAGACTACAGTACAGTTTAGTACGGAATAATTTAAAAATTGGATAACACCAAAAGTTTCAACAAAAATCTCGACTCTGTAAAACTACTTTGCAGTTATAAACCATTGTATTTAGGGTATTAATAAAAATATAGCACCTGTTTCCAGGATTAATTCCTCGTGGCAACATAAATTAGAAAATGAATTTTTTTTTTTCAACTTAAGACTTCATTATCGATATATAAGTTTTTATAAATGCCACTGACAATATTAGTATTAGTAGTATTTCTCATACACTGTGGTGCATAACTATAGCACCACTGATATTTTCATCACATCTCAAGCATGTTTGTCACCAAATTTTCATCTAATTCAAAGTTTTATTTATTAATTAATACAATGCCACGCGGTAAATATCTTACTGAGAAAGAGCAAGGTGAAATTTTAGCTTATAACAAGCTAGAACTGGGAATTAGGGAAATTGGATGCGAACTTGGGCAATTCCCTAAAGTAATATCAAATTTTTTACGTAGTCTATCGAAATATGGCCAAAATAAGAACGGAGGACCTAAGAAGAAACTGTCCCCACATGCTGAGAGGCAGATTATTAAAATTGGGAGCAATAGTTTGAAAAGCTGTTGGGAAATTGCAGTGGAATGTAGACACGAAGTGTCACGTTGGACCATTCAATGTGTTTTTAGAAGAAATCCAACCATTGCCAGACAAAAACTAATTTCAGCACCCGTTCTTTCTAAACACCACAAAATAGCAAGAATGGAATACACCCGCGAAAACATAAATAAAAACTGAAATCATGTAAGTTTAATGTTAATCGACAAATTAAGAGGTGACATTTTCTTCCATTTAACGTTCTTCATTAGGTAATATTTTCCAATGAGAAAAAGTTTAATCTCGATGGCCCAGATGGGTTCAATTGTTACTGGAGAGACCTACGAAAAGACCCAAAGTATTTTTCTAAATGAAATTTTGGAATGTTAATGGTATGGGTTGCGTTTTACTCGAGTGGCAAGCTGGAATTAGCGTTTCCTTCATCCAGAATGAATAGTTTACGAGTACATTGAAATATTGGAGAACAATTTGTTGCCATTCATTCATTCGAAGAACCACATTACTTGGACATATCAACAATATAATGCCCCAATACACAAAAGTCGAGGAATACTAAGGCGGCTTCAAAAACTTAATATAAATTTATTAAACTGGCCAGCATGCTCCCTGTATCAAAATTCGATGGAAAATTTATGGGGTATGATGGCACGGCGTATTTATGCACACAACCAACAATTTTCGAGCATTTCGCAGTTAAAAGAAGCTGTACTAAAATCCTGAAATGAAATTAACGATGAAATTTTGTAAAAAAAAACTAGTTGGGAGTATGCCAAGTTGCATTTTTGAATTAATCGAGAAGAAAGGAGATCCTACTCATTATTAAATCATTCCCTTTTATTCATTGAAATTATAATTTAATCATTACATTATAATTTAATATTGTTATTATGTTATAATTCCATTGGTGCTACAGTTGTGCACCCATGAAATATATATATATATATATATATATATATATATATATATATAT